TTTATTATTTTTGAACAGGTACGGACACAGCTGGACGGAGCGGTTCACCCAGATCAATGAAATCGTCGGACATTCATCTAATTTCGATCTTTTTCAAATCGCCTCCGAAAAATCGGTCACCTTTGATGAGTTTTTGAGCTACCTCTTACTTCAAGATGTGCTCGATTACTACGCCAATTTGACCGACTCGTCGATACCCGGGTATGTGGCCCGGAACGGGTTTCATTTTCTCAACGCATTAGGAAAAATCCCGTATGACGATTCGTTTACCCCGTGGGATGTGATTTTAGTGAAGAAAGAGTCCTTTAATTTCCTTTCGTGTTACAAAGTTAGTCGACAAAGTGACACGGCCTCCGTGCTAAGTGCGCCATTTGATGGGGTCACGTGGGTTTTACTGACGACGCTTTTGACAGCTGTGACATTTGTGTTTTTAATTGTGACGAAACTGTTGCAAAGTTATAATTGGGTGAGCGACCTTTTAACCTACTTTATCTTGGGGGTTCTTTGGGAAAACTCGATTTTGCACAACTTCGAAAAACGGATGGTTCAAAAGCGTTTGAGTGTTAAGCTTGTCTTCACCGTGTACATCTTCTTGTACGGGACGATCCTCACAAATTTGTACAAAACGTCCTTCACCATGGAAACCATTGTCCCTTCGAAGGCCTCTTCCCCCTGGGGAAATCTTACCGAGCTGCTAAAAAGTGGGGGAAGTTTGAAACCCTTCAAATTTTTTATTGGTATTGAAACCTTGTTGTCCAGCTTGGATCTGAAAATTTTTGAGGAGCGCGATTACCTCTTCTTGTACCAATGGAATCAAATCATAGATTCAAATTTACCCCTGAGTTCGTCAAATAGCGTGGATTGGGGCGTGTTGAGAAACGTGACCCCACTTCTGTACAAGGAACCGGCATATTTCGTGAATAATTTGTCGCTCTGTGACCACGTGGCGTATCTCGATTCGAGCGAAAATGTGGCCAAATTGGTCCCATTTTTGAATGATAATTACAATCAGATAGTTTTTCTGGGGGGCAAAGGAAGTTTTTTAGTTCCATTTTGGTACGGGTGGCAAACTCGGCATGTGAGAAATGGGTATGTCTGGAACAGGTTAAAAAAATTTATTTCTTCCGGAATTTATTCCTACTGGACCGCCTGGTTTGAACGGGTTAAACCTAAAAAGTTATTTCATCAATGGGCGAATTGGACGGGGACGAATGCGAGGGTGAAGAAACTTGTCGGGGTTAAGTCGAAAGTATGGGTGAGAATATATTTATTCATCGGGGGTGTGGTGATATGTTGGATAGCATTTGGATACGAAATATTTACGGCATTCTCTACGAGTTCGCATCGTTAGCAAAAAAGTAAAATTTGTACAGAAATATTTGCTTGATAAGTCAATCGGGAATTAGCGTTTCTCCGATAATATCATTGATGTTCTTTATAGCTACTGTTTTCTAAATAAGATTTAAATATATTTCACTCCGAATATGCAAACTGGTAATTAATGAATGCCCTCGTTAATTTACTGCTACAAATATGCATTTCAGTTATAAGTTAAATAAATCGGTATTCGAAATGTTATAAACATTTGTAACAGTGAACACACAACTTGTCTCATTATCGTTATAATTTTTAGTCAAAATCAGAAATAAACATTGTTTTTAGAATACGGGTTATCGAATCATTCTAGCTCTTAGCCTAACACGAAATTTTAGAACCCAAAATTTTAGGATACAGCATCTACCTCTCGAACTCGAACTCGAATGCGTATCGGACGAAGAAATCAAATCCGAACCTGGAACCAGAATAAGGACCCGTAAACTCTAAGGGACTGTGCAGGAAGCAAGAAGTCGGTGTAAGGCCTGCATGTCATTCCACTGGTAGAAAAAGAGGTAATCCCGCTCCTCGTAAATTGTAAGATCTAAGCTGGACAACAAGGTTTCAACACCAACAAAAAACCTGAAGGGTTTCAAACTTCCCGCACTATTTAGCAGGTCCGTCATATCACCCCAGGGAGCGGACGCCTTCGAGGGAACAATCATTTCCATGGTGAACCAAGTTTTGTACAAATTTGTGAGAATTGTCCCATAAAAAAAGATGTACAGGGTGAGGAGAAGCTTAACAGTCTGATACAAACTTTTCTTTTGAACGATGCGTTTTTCGAAGTTGTTTAAAATCGAGTTTTCCAGTAGAATCCCGAACACGAAATAAGTTAAGAGGTCACTGGCAGAATTATAATTTTGTGTTAGTTTCGTCACCATTTGAAAAAAGAGGGTCACCCCAGTCAAAAATACGGCCACTAAAAGCCACGTGGTCCCATCGAACGGCGCACTAAGCACGGACGCCGTGTCACTTTGTCGAAAAACCTTGTGACACGAGAGAAAACTGAAGGATTCTTTTCTCGACAAAATCATATCCCACGGCGTGGATGAGTCTTCTAAGGGTATTTTTCCGAGTATGTCAAGGAAATGAAATTCATTCCGTACCCCGTCAAAAGAGCCATTTAGTGTCAAGTCGGTTAAATTTGCGTAGTAATCGAGCACATCTTGAAGTAAGAGGTAGCTCAAAAACTCGTCAAATGTGACGGATTTCTCGGTGGCAAGTTTGTCCAGATTTAAATTGGATGACTGACCAACGATTCCGTTAATTTGAGTGAACCGTTCCGTCCAGCTGTATCCATACCTGTTCAAAAATAAATGAATTACATAATCAATCATCTTGAAGAATTTCATTCACATTCAGCCATTTTCTTTCAAACTCATTTCATTTCTCTTCATTGGACTTCATTGCTTATTTCTCCCCATGTTTTAAAAATTGGGTTAAAAAGAAGTAAATTGAATCAGAAGTCCTTTCATTCACACTTATTCAATTAAAATGACGGAATCTTTCACTCATTTTCATCCAAACGACAGGAAATTGTTTTTCATTAATTGTCAAATGAATGAGACTGAACAGGTATATCTGTATCCGTACGGTGGTCCCCTCCATCTCCCCCAGGCCGCCATATTCCAAAAGTACTTGTTACACTTGGAGATTTCCTGTGTTATGGAGCGAATTTTGTCAAAACAGGAAACCGAACATTCCACTCGTATCCATGGCGACGAAGAGGGTGCCCTTGACAAACTGTAGTATTTATTATAGTACATCAAATCCATTGAAGTATTATTTGCCTCTTTTAGTACGAGAATCTCCATAAATTTTATATCTGCAGAAATGTATTTTTCTATGGTTTCCAGAAAATATGGGGCCGAGTCTGCTCTTAAAAGTATGTATTGTGTGATGGACTTCTTTGCCCCGAAATGTTCCAAATTTTCGAAGAAATCTCCAACTTCTGGTTTAGCATTACTTTGTTCTGGTTTCCTGCTCGTCAAACCATGTCCAAATGTTATTTGATAAATAAATAGTACACAAAATTGTGACACTGTGTGTTTTTTGATAAGGGATACTTCCTCCAGAACTTTTGAGAAGTGTGGGTTTCCAAGTATAATTATTGGTGTGGGAAATGCGTTGGGAAATAGTTTGTTGTCAATTTTTGAATTTGAATAGGTAACATTTTGATACCCTGAATCTGACACAAGTGCAATGGTACAGTTTTTAAATTGATTGATTACTTCTTGAAGAGGATAGTGTACCGAATTTAGTGGTTGTGTCGTACTTTTGCAGGGACGATTTAAAGTTAAAAGTGAAATTATAAAGGGCACAAGTGTCGTTCTAGGATGAAAGTGTAGATGGGCCATTTAAATATTTATATTATTTAACGCTGATTACGAAATGAATTTATGTAATTAATCGGGTAATTAATAATAAATGTTTAAGTAGATATTTTTTAATTGCGTAGAATTATTATAAACACGTGAATATTGATAAATAACATGTTCCAATGGTTTTGATCGAATTCAGTAAAAACGTTGCAGGACATTATTTGTTCAGATGGATGACGTTATGCAAAAAAATAATGAGTAAATAATTACACGCATGCATACATTCACGTTACCATTTATATTTTCAAGTATTTGCCAAATATTTGTACTAGATCCTTGGAGTTATGCATGGATAATAATTAGAGAGCGGATATTAATTTAGCAGACACATCTTTGAAATCTTTCGTAGTACTTTCTAAAACAAACTCAGAAATATTTACACTATGTCTTAAAATAATTGTGCACTGAATTGAATACGTTTTATTTGGTATGCTCCGATTTTTTTGAGCGAGAAAAAAATCGCTTCAAATCGTGAAAGTACTCGCATGCATATTAAATATATACATACAAATTCTGGAAAATATATGTAGCTATAAGATTAACATATTTATTTTTCAAATAATGGCAGACATTTTTCTAAATATTGCTTTGTTGATTACAGATATTTGCTGTCAATCACAAATGTTTGCAGCATATTTAGAACGCGAGATAAATTTATACAAGTGCACTAATGGTGTTTGATAAGTTATTTATCTTTCCAACAAGTACTTATGCACTACAGAGTAAATAAAAGAGTAATAAATCAGTAAGTGTTTAGTTCAATACGTTTGTCTACATAATTATGTATAACCAATGAGTTATAGATTAGATTTTGGGTGCTTATTTATTAATCTAAACTATACATGGTTTTAGCAATGAGCATAATATTATGAGTATTTGTGTAGTGTGTTAGAGGTAAGGAAATCCAACGTGGCTAAAATTTCGGACAACCATGGATACTTCTATATTTAAAAAGCACATGAATGTCTGAAATTATGGAAGTTATAGAAATTTTGGTTTTGAAATTCACCTAAATACTTATTTAAGTCAATATTCCCAATCAGATTGGAAATCAGTCGAAATTGGTCAAGATATACAACCCTTACACAGTAAAATATTCGGAATAATTGAAATATGAGGTGCTAAAATTCATAAAAATTGAAATTTGATAGCAGAGTGTGTGCATTTATTCTGGTTCTAAATGCACATTACCTAAAAATTGTGATGGTGAACTAAAGTAAATAAAATTCTCAAGAGTTGTCACATTATTTATCATCGACTTCCCATATTTATTTATGCATAAAGTAGGGGGTGTCCATAAACTATGTCACGACTGAGGGGGAAAGTTTGTCGTTACAGGGTGATTTGCGCCATATGTGAAAAAGGCGTGCAACACGTGAAAAGGGGAAGGGAGAATCGGAAAAAAAGCATTCTTGCATGACATAATTTATGGACTTCCCCTTACAATACGGAAACATTTAAAAAAACAGCTTTTTACACCCGACCTATCACCTTGTTGAGATATTTCATAAAATCAGGCTCATCACAAACTTCTTGGTCGGGTTCATAACTTCTCGGGGAATTCCGATACCCTCGTGGGACCGGGGTCGTCGGTGGAAGAGGGGTTGGCGTGCCGGTTGGAGGTACTCCACCGACGCACTCGGGAACTTCAAAGTCCCAATCACATAATTCTGTATGCTGTTGATTGAAAGACAGTTCGTTAGTATTTTTTTAGTTTTCAAAATTTTGGTGAATTTTGTTTTAAGAATTTTTGCAAATTTTGCATACCGGGTTGTAATACAGGGGTGGAGGACAGTTAAAGAGACACGGTCGTCTGCCAGGGTCACAAATGTAGAAAAGGGTACAATCATAGGGATGAGCAATGGGTCCTTCGTACCCTTCCGGACAGATCCACGTGATAGGATCGGGTTCTTCGGTAGTTGGGGCTTCGGTCGTTGTGGTTGTGGTCGTGGTCGTCGGAGTGGTAGTAGTTGTTGGGGTAGTCGTGGTCGTCGGTGTTGTGGTGGTCGTTGGTGTTGTTGTAGTTGTTGGGGTCGTGGTAGTCGTTGGAGTGGTCGTGGTAGTTGGAGTGGTTGTGGTAGTCGGTGTGGTCGTGGTCGTCGGTGGCGCGGTAACGGTAACACAGCCAATTACCGCTTCATGGTTACAAACGGTCAAGTCCTGATCCCACATGGTCCCGTTCGGGCAGCATTGCGCTTTCGCGACACCGTTCGTACATTCGAGGAATTTGCGACAGTCGTACGGATAAGGGTGATACGTGGGGACGCCGTCCTCCCAATCGGGACAGAATACGTTGTACTACAAAATTTAACGAAAAGGTTACAGATTAGCACAGAAATTCATTCCTGTTCAGATTCATTTATTCAATACAAAATGAATAAATTATCTAATTCGTTTTTCACTAAGAAATGGAGCATATTTACAATTCTAACCAGTACAGCGAATTTGAGATAAAACGAAACAAAATTGACAATGAATTAATATTTTGTTTTCAAATCGTGAATAAATAAAGTAATGAGTGAATAATTATTTTCAGTTTTAAAATTGAATAAATCTACAACTAATTCAAGTTTTCTAATCGCATGGAGAGGGCTTATCACGAATTCCCATGTTTTTCGATATGTATTTTACCAATTCAAGCCAAATGGGCAACTTTACACGAAAACAATTTTTAAGTACAAAAAATTTTGCACACATTGCAAATTGTAACTTACCTCTTCCTCCACGATGCCACATTCTGGTTGTGGCGTTTGTCCGAATAGGAGAACAATTTGTGCCGTCAAAAGTACTACAACGGCGACGTGGTTAAGGGTCAGGTTCATTTTAGTTTTTGTAGAATATTTATTTAATCAAACCGCAGCGTTTTCCTTGCTCGAATAGTAACGACTCATGCGACCCAGCCTCTTATAAAGGTGGACGTTCTGACGTTAATTATGTATTGGGAAAGGCTTGTCAATCAGTGCCAAAGCGAGCAGATATCAGTTATTTGATAAGGCACGCTCTTTCCAATAATAAATATATATACTGCTGTCCACATGTCACAATATGCAAAATTATCTCTCCATTTGCGTCATACTTTGAACTAAAACTTTCCATTGTACATGTGCAATTGAGATTTATATTGGTTTCGTAATACGGTGACATTCCTGGTTATTTACATAAATAGATAACCGCGACATAATTGATATGAGAGTCAAAATTCGCTGAAAAATTATTAAGGGGAAGGCCGCAATTTTTTTATGGGTAGGGAACGTTCATAAATTATGTGACGTACACATTTCCGATTATTTGTATCCATCGTAACAGTTTACAGCCCCTGTAATCAAATCTGGTCAAAACTTTTCCATTTAAAAATTAGCGATCACTACCTCTGACTAAATATTTTCGTTCACATTCACTCATTTTCATTCAAAATGCATTTCATCTCACTTCATTTCTAACCATGCCCTAATTACATATTAAGCCTAGGGTGAGAAATCCTTTCATTCACAGTGTTTCAGCTGAAATGCCGGATTCTTTCAGTCACTCAAATTTGCACTCAAATATAAGGAAATTCGTTTTCGTTCACTAAAATTTCTTAGAGTGTAAATAAAGTTCGCTTTTTAGTGTATTTTCTTTCCCTTTCAGAAAAAGAAGTCGCTCGTTGGAATTTTGCCCCCGAATATTTTCCTTAAGAGGGGTCACCCAAAGGAATGATGCATAAGCGCCATTTGATTCCTTACTTTTGGTTTGAGTGGTTTTTGCGTATCTTGTTAACCACTATACACTCTAAGAAATTTTACCACCGGACTTTCACTAAGCGGTGACTATATGTGACTCTACCGCAATGGTGGTCACCTACCACCGCGCGGTGATAAAAAGTGCCATCACCATCATGGTGGTAGACATCTACCGGATGGTGGTGGAACGATCAATATTTTCTATCACCGCTCGGTGATATACCACCACCATATTTAATTCGCCATGTCACTGTCTGGTGATCGATAAATAAAAATAATTTCGCTTCTTCACACAAAAATGTCACATTTTTCGCAATTTATTGCTTTATTCAAATACTTTAACAGATAATTCATATTTTATATATGTATATATGTAAAACCTGTTCCTCCCCATTTGTGGAATTGCAGCAGCACTTGAAGTTGCGAAGAGTATCCAGTCACGACATGTATCTAGGACATTGACTGAATTTAATTAATGTTGATTTAGATTGGTCCAGAAATCATAGCTTATTACTTTACCTTTTAGTTGGAACTTTGGCACAATTTTTTTATTTGCACAGATGACGTTGTACTATCCGCAACTTTTTTGCAGTACAACCGGCGACCACAATCGTCGTTATTGACTCGCATCGATTACAGTTGGCCGACCAATTGGAAAAAAATATATTAATTAATTATGTACAGATTCAACAATTAAGCTACTAAATTTTATGCAAATATTCCCTGGTCAAAATCCTTCAATTTCTCCATTCTGGTCCTCCAGATCCACACCCAAGTTAAATTTCTCTCCAACTAGAAATGAGACAAAGTTAACTTGGCCAAAATTAGCTAACTTTTAACTTTTAATTTCTTTTACCTGTGTCTATAAATTCACGATAACTACTTGGGCACGGTACGGTATTATTTTTTTCCTCTTAAACTTTGAAATACGAAGTAATTTTACCAACTCCACTGCAACTCCGCTGCTTTATTTGTTTCTGGTTCGTGGAGTACGACAAACTTGCCACTCTGCAAGTCACGTGTAGAGCGAAGCTATCACCATGGTACGGTGGTAGTGGTGATCACCAGCAATGGTGACAAATTTCGGTGATAGGTTTATCACCATTACGGTGATGCTTGCTGTTTCCACTCGCGCGGTGATGGCGCCTATCACCCAATTTCTTAGAGTGTACGTTTTGCGTAAAAAAGGTTATATTGTTAGTAATCATTTACGGCCTTAAAAAATCTTACAACTCAATTTTTTCCAATGTTTAGAACGTTTTGCCGAGCGCTCGCCATTACTGCTTTACCACTCTTGTTACCAAGTTTCTTTTTAACCCCAGTCCACACTCCACACCGGAAAATTCAGGCGGCTAAGGACTTATGTACGTACATACAAAATTAACCAATTAAAATGAAGAAATTGAATAAAATCGATTTCAATTTTTTAACTGATTAATTATTAAATGGTCATCTGAAACAAAATGATTAGCAAATTTTTGCCCGTTACGGTTAGAATGCATGAATTTTCAATAAATACATTTAATAATTGGATTACACGGAGTTTAGTGGAAAAATCTAAGAAAAAGTTTGCTTTATTTTGTCAACATTTCGAATGCTACATATGTACATATCTGCCACTCATCAAGACAGGTAGGAGAAGATGAGAAAATTTGTTTCATAAATACATTTACATTCTCTGTACATACTTTTGTAATGACTGAACTTCCAAGGACAATTTTTCCTAACATATGTATGTATTTAGATGCTTTTAGATGCTTGGGATATTATGAATATTTTGGGTAATGGGCCCCACTGGTTTTGCCGCTGTTTCATTTCGTCCGTAAGTTAACATGGTGGCGGGCGGATTTCAAATTCAAACAGGGGACCCATGACCCAAAAAACGCATAATAGTGAAGCTTAAACCAACAAAAACGTGACCAGCACATCTAAAGCAGTCATCCAAACCAAGAGTGAAGTCGATCTATCGAAAAAGGTCCCATTTCCCAAATGAACTTTTAAGGAAGAACATGACACAATATATTTCATTTCACATCTCGACCCCTTCTTTAATCTCCGTCTTGCTGCATTGATCAATTCGACGGATCTGGTGTATGGAAAGGACAAAATTTTAAAGAGTAGCTGAATAACGACGAACATATCGAACGCCCCGACGGAATAAAGGGCCAAAACGGGCTGGGGGATCTGATTGCTGGAGGACAGGACGACATAGAGTGATGTACTACTGAGCAAGATGGCGCAACCAACAACTAATGGCACGGCAGGGTCTTTCCAGGCATTGTTGAGTAGGCGTGATAACAATTGAAGTTTCCTATATTGAACAAGGAAAATCCTGCGGAAGCATTTTTCTAAATCCAGATCTCTGAAAAACGATTAAATTCGTATATAAATTTATAATTTGGAGTTCAATATCAGAAACACACTTGAAAGTTCGTTACATATTTCATACTATATTTTCTGTTTAATATTTACTTGGGCCATTATTAAAGTAAAAAGTTTTCCCGAATGTTAATAAGCTTTGACCCAAGATTACAGAAATCAACATAAATGTCTGAACAAATCTATTTTTAGCCTTTTTTTTAGCCTTTTTTATGAACATGGTTTACATATGTACAATGTAAATATACGTAACAAGACTATTTAAATATATGTGTACATAAGCATACCTTTCTAATCCATCTAATAGCAACAGCTGCACTGCAACAGGATAAAGTAGAAGAACAAAAAGGCCGCATTCTGTCGTGCTGAAAACAACTAGACCCGTGTAGACGGCGAAGAGGGCCTGTGCCGTTTTTGCCAAGAAATGTCCAGGTATATCGTTCCAATCCTTGCAGGGTAATGCTGCCATAGTGAAGAAGGAAGGTGGCATGCAAGGCTTGACGAAACTAGTGATGAAAAGAGTGGATGGTGCAGCTGTTATTGTTATGATGGAAATGACCATAATCCCAATAAAATAGTACGGAACATAACCATGGACACCTATGTAATTTTAAAGAAGAAATGCCTCCTGTTATAATTATTTGCTGATTTTTAATCTTGTTGAAACAAAAAAACGCTAAAAATCAAAAGAGTACATACATACATACTTCGTCTCAACGTAGATTTTGACCTACCTTTCCTCTCATGGTTCCTTTCCATTTCCAAATGGTTAGAACAATTCAAAACGCACACGATTTCCCTCGGGAAACGAATCAGGTGCAGTAGGCCAAAGCAAGTTCCTATAAACAAAACGAGCAAGAACGTCATGAGGATGTTTTTCCAATTATCCGTAACGACACGTTCACTCGAATTGGACCTCTGATTATCAAACCATTTCAATATTAGGATCAGTTGAAGCAAGGCAAATCCGATGTCAAATATAATTTTAACAGCTGTCCATCTGGATTTGTTAAGACGGATATATTTTTTATCATCGGTGGTCAAGGGTAGGGCGTGTACCAAGAGGATGCTGTCGAGAAAGACATGGGTAACCGAGGTATACGACGAAACTTTTTCCTTGATTGACACCTTATTAGGGTGGAATGTGATTTTCTTGAGGAGAGCAGCCAGATTGGGTACAATTCCCATAACTTGTAAGTATTGGGAGAGTATTTTTGCTATCATGGCTGCTTCTACCTTCCAAAAATATGAAAATTTAAGTCACTACTCTCTTTACTATCAAGTTGTCAGGTAAGCTTCGAAATTCAACAATATATAATTGAGTTACACAAAACAGGGAAAGAAAACTAGGTACAGTTTGTTTTGCTCAGCTTGAAATTCATTTTAGACTTCCTGTGTGCAGAATGATACGTCACACCCTAAGTATATACGTAACCCGATCGATGAACAAAACTAATCAAAAACTTCATTCTTTTTTTAAATTATTTAATAGAGGTTATACAAGAGAAGAGTATATATAAAAGAAGTTATTGTGTGCAATGTAATTGTGACCAATTAAGTAGATATGTATCAAAGTAATCCTTGTTTACTCATTGGATAATAGGGTTAATCAGGTTTTCGACTGGTAAAACCAAATTGATTAGAGCGGTGGGAAAAAATAAAGTCAATTTTACCACCCACCCAAATTAGGCGGTAAATAGGAGAAACTAGGGTGTGGGGCAATCTGAAATAACTTCGTTACAAATTGCAAAGTCATAGGACTTTATGTTCGTATTCTCCATTAAATTCTAAGAAAATAAGCTGATAACACGGTTCAATTCGAGAAATCTCTAAAATTAACGCGCATGTATGTATTCAAATGGAAAAATGTAAAAACAATCAAAATTATTCAAAAGTCCAGTTCCGAAAATGTTGATTATTAAAGGAGTTAGCTCTCCCCATAACTAAAGATATGGGCACCCATATTTTCACTTTTCGAAAGGGAAAAGCCATTTTTCCCTGTTTTTCCCACTTTTTCCCACATGCCGTTGTAAAAAATAGTTTTTGACGGGAACAAGGAAACCTTGGGTAAATTTAGTTTCTAGAGTATATACCCCAATATTATATACATCATCATTATCTAGAAAACCCATCTGAAATTGCAAAAAAGCAATAAATAAACTATTAAAGCTTTATATATGTAGGTTAGTGACAACACAAATATGAAGTAAACGAATCCTATTGGTGATATTGCTGTTAAACATAACTGTAAGTAAATAGTTTAGCAGGATATAAATTTCCTGGAATTACGGAAACTGCCAGATTCGAAGTCTGTTAAGAGATAACAGATACATAAGTTTTTAATTCAGTTGTTCAATATATGTTTATTAGATATTGGAATATCGATTTATATCGATTAATTTATCAAACTCGATTGAACTCGACTGAATCTAATCGTGCTTCCCTTACGAAGTTGTTTGTTATCATTTAAATTTCAAAACAAATTACATAAAATGAAGCACATAAATTTTGAAAAGTCTCTATTTGTGGGAAATCATGGAGACGTTGTGTCACCAACAGGAAAATAAATTAGCAATTCGTATACCAAACACACATGGCGTCACGAAAAATCTATACGTTCACGTTGAAAATCTTAAATTCAGCTCAGATTATGTATCCTGTAATGTGATGTGTAAAATATGTAGGGAAATTCCATAATCATGATGGAAAATGTTAATTGTTTTAATAACGACGTTATGTCACGATTTTTTTTACTTGTTTCCCGTATGTGACAGAATGTTCCCTCCGTCATTTCACAAAAACAGGGCACTAAAACACCTCCTAGATTTGTCTCCATGTTATCTGTTACACGAATAAATATGCATGTATATGTTCAAGTATGTACATATGCATTTGTTTAAACATTTACACGCATAAACATAAACTCTTATCACATGTGCAAACTAAATGTGATAATCCTTATTGTGCTTTTGGATAGTCACCAAAGTGTAAATATTTCGTGGATTAAGCCCTCAACTGTGCCATTAAATAATAATTAGTCGCCTGCATTTATCCAGTCACGAATTGAGGTCAATTAAATTTAAAAGCTTAATAGTAACACAAAAATATATGTACGCGTAGATATGCAATACAATGCATGCTTTTGCGACACTAATTTCCTTATTGTTTTTGGCAAGAGATAAGCATGCAGATGTAGAAAACGCCTCTCCAAATCTGTTGAAATTTATTGGAAAACGGCTCTCTAAATCGTGGTAAAACACGCGTCAGAATTGTGAATAAAAAGGACACACGACTGCATCATTCAAGAGGAAATTACGTTCATAAATTGCTAAATATCGATATCATCATATGTAGTTAAAATCATGAAGGGATTGTCTTTTCTAATTTTTTTGGCGGGCTTCATTTCTCGAGGGGAGGGTAAGTTAACCATTGCGCTTACCTTTATCCTTTTGTTTATGATGGAAAAATCATAATTTACAGCCTAACTTGGAGTTTTATCAAATTTGTATTTTTTGTGTTCCTGGCATTTTGAATTGAAGTTTTTTTGATAAATCTTGATCAAATTCATTAATTTAACAAATTGACGTAGCATTATGAGTTTTATTACTTCACCCCAACCATTGACTAAAACCCAGTAAAACCCCGGGGTAGTTGTTTTCAGGGTGAAACCCTGGGTTTTTCCGAACAATGGTTACAATAAGTAGATTTGCTAAAGAATACCAGCCATCCACCATTTTGTTACGTAATACCTGGACGCTCACTACAAGAACTTCCTTACACCTATATATTGAATTCCATAATTCCCTTATTTAGGCATCTCTTGCTATCAGTGTCTGAACTTCCGAGGCGTCACGCCAGACATGACTTTTCCTGCGTTCGGTTACGGCCCTGGGTGCGAAGCCGACAGCCTCAGCACTGCCTTCATAGCACCCTGCGTCGTTTCGGATCCAGAAGACCCTCCATTAGACGCTTGCCTCAATGTCGAAATGGTGCTGGATAACAATATTACAATCATTGCCCGAACCTGTGCAAACCTTGAACAGTTGGGCGGGGCGAAGTGCGCCGTTTCCGACGAATTTGTCCGAGACGGCCTATGGCTTGCCCTGAAACTATACGAACGTTTCTTTTTCGAAAATCCCGTTCTTCCAGAACGAGCCCCCGCCGGGATCCCGATGAATCTGTGTAGCTGCAAGGGAGACGATTGTAATGGGAACTGCACTTGTGGCGGGATTGGAGATCCCGACCCGTCGACGAGTCCTCCACCCGAGGCAAGCTTTGCGGGGAAAGGGGTCACCAAATCGGAAGTACTGGTGTTTTCAGCAATGATCATTTCCTTAGCGAGAATGCTTTACTCGAATCTATAAGTCATAAATTAATGGGGGTATCTGTTATTTATTTTCATCGTATTTTTTTTCAAATTTATTTCATTTATTTATTTTTCAAATTGTAAAATAGCGAACGAAATTTAAGCGATTTTAGAAATGGGGTAAGTAAGATTTTGCCATAAAAATCACGTTACTAGCCTTATAACTTTTATGAAAGGTTTCTTCGTGTACTATTTTATGGTCTTTTAGATCTAATAAAAGAGTAGAAAGAAATCTGAACAAAGGCGATTAATTTTTTAGCAGTTACTTTTTGAACGACTCTGTAAAACACGAGTAATGACTAATTCATATTTGTCAGATAAACCTGACATAAGTGCATGAATTTTTTATGCATTCATTTAGATTCCCTGGTTATGACTGGATTTGCAATGACAATTTTATGAACATGGCTAGGTATATATACGATTAGAATAATTTTGCTTAGAGTAATAAAACCGTGACGAGCAAATCCAAAGCAGTATTGCAAACTAAGAATGGAGTCGATCTATCGAAAAAAAGTATCATTTCCCAAAAGAACGTTTAAAGGGTAGCATGACACAATATATTTAATTTCGCATCTCGTCACTTTCTTTAATCTACGTCTTGCCGGAGTAATCAATTCGAAGGATCTGGTGTATGGATACGACAAAATTTTGAAGAGATGTTGAATCACATATCGAAGACACACACGGAATAGAGGGCCAAAACAGACAAGTTGATCTTCTCGCTGACAATAGGACGGCATGTGTAGGGTGACGTTGACCATATATTATACTCTTGATAGCTATGATAGCCTTGATGTGGGACCGTGCAATTGTCATATGTATTTTAATTATGATAAAGTGCCAAATATGAGAAATATAACAAATATTAGATATCAGTTCGACACGTGCAACCTTCATCCATACGGAACTATCTCTAATTAATTTCGTTGCCTATGTACTTATGTACGTGCAAAAACGATCGATCGTCATTCGTAACCACTTCAATAGAGTAAAAGCACCATATTTGCAAATTTGTCGCGTCAAACCACAAAGTCGCCTAGTATAATGGAAATTTGCTGCCACAGAATTGTATCGAACAGTCAAAAACATTTGAAAAAATAAAACCATACAAAATAAAACCATTTCAATAACAAGTCCAAAAGCTGTTTGCAACTATATTCGTAATAACAAAGCCCAAGATCCATTTTGCAGCCGTGCTAAATTCTAGCTCGATTCCTCCTACTTTCGAAACAAATAAAAAACAAAAGTATTTTAAAAATCCACCATTAGAAAATCGTACTAGTTAACTTCAACTATATTTTCGACAAATGCTTTTATAATTGGTTATTATATTTAGCTATAAAACACGTGTAATTAATTACCTAACAGACCATAACTGAACCAACTAAGATGCTAGCAAAATATTTATAATTCAACCCCAATTCAAAATGCTAAGTAGTTTGTATAAAATAAGTTTGTGGTTCATTGTTTTTCATCTTTCTCATACCTTAACCACTGTTAAATGTAAAATGATGTAGTTATGAAATTGTTTTATGTATTTTTGTAAATTGTTGAGTACGCGTCTATAATTGCCCCGAGACGTGGTGGTGGTTGCCATGGTGACGTCAGGGTGGGATTTTTGGGTGCGCGTCCCTCTTTGTTAAGTCGTAGTAAGTAAGTAGGTAGAAGAATTCTACACAGTCGAGTTTTAGTCGTTGTCAAAGTCAGACATTTTGGATTTTTGTCGTCGTGGTAGGAAATCAAGAGTAAGAATTGTTAATTCTTTGTTATTGATGTCCACGATTAATTTGTTAATAGTAAGTCACCAATCAACTCGTGTTAGTACAGAGCTCTGAATTGTGTTGACAATTAGTAATTTGTTGGAAATAAAATCTAGTTTAAGCAGATAAAATAATCCTATATTCACTCACAATGCGATGGTGTGAAGTGTAACCCTCCGATTTGGCTGAAATTTTGAAATTATGTGATCCATGTCAATACAACCAAAGTTTCCTGTGGCAGCTTGTCCGACGGTATGAATTTGACAAAGTATTTGAAGTCAAAGTTAAAAAAATGGGCAATTTTTACCAGGCGAGAGAAGTAAACTAAACTTACATTCTTTTTCCTATCTGAAAATTGCATATTTTTTAACTTTGACCTCAAATATTTTGCCAAACTCCGACCATCGCACAAACTGCCTCAAGAAACTTTCGTTGTATTGACATGGACCACATAATTTCAAAATTTCAGCCAAATCGCAGAGTTACACTTCACAAAAGCGCGTTGTTAGTCCGGATGGTTTCCTTAATTTAGAATGTGGGCTCCATTTTTCAAAAGGGGAACATATTTATATAATTTTCAAGCCTTTATCGCTTTTTAATTAAACACTTACCCCGCATGACGTACGCTATTACCGCGTGACCCAGCTCGTGTCCCACGGTAACGCCTAACTTGGAATATTTGAAGACGTCCCAGAATCCGGGATGAAATCGGGGCATGTGCACGAACCCGGGTGAAATGACGACCATATCATTGACCGGGTAGTAGCTCGCATTCGCCAGTAGGGTTTGTTTCGCCGCGGTTATCGTGTTCCCCAGGGCGGGCACTGATTCCAGGAAGTTATTAAATTTATCGACTTTTTCCAAATTTCCGAGTAAATCGTTTGAATCGAGGGGAAGATATGAGTACAAATCGTTGAGATAGTTCGGGTCGAGCAAGGCATCGGAACCGAATCCGATCCGGGTATTCATAGAAATTTGGGTTGGACTCCAGTCGGAGGCTGATTTGACCGATTGTTTAACCGTTTGAAGGACGCGGTTCGAAATTTCGGAAGCATTGGAAATAGTTTCGAAATGAATGAACGCGTTAGTGAGTAATTTATTGAATGAATAATGAATGAATGAATAATTCAACATTTGAAGACCATAGATCGGAGTCCTCCGGGCTTGGAGTACGTACTCTGGCCTCCGGAGGCCGGAGTACGCAGCTTTTTCTGGAGGCCGGAGTACGCGGAGGCCGGAGTACGCGGAGGCCGGAGTACGCACGGCCGGCCGGAGGCCGGAGTACGGAGGCCGGAGTACGCAAAATTTCCGATCGCATAGATAGGAGAATTCCGGGCTTGGAGTACGTACTCCGGCCTCCGGAGCAACCCTGGAAAATCTTACAAAATTTTCGAAGTGTACTACTAACACGTTAGTAGTGTACTAGCGTGAAAAGTAGTATTTCTTGGCTAAAAATTCAATTTACGGCCATGTAAGAGTGCGGAACAATGCACCCGTGGTGTTCCATATTTTCCTAACGACAGAATTTTTTAGACTCATTCTTGCCACTTATGGCCACAAATGAATGGTCCTACGAATGTTTCCAACGCGTGGAACTTTGGTGTGTAAATGGGTACAAAAGTTAATCTCTAAGCTGAGGAGTCACCGTTAGGCATCCCCGAAGCATGAGCTTCATAATTTGTCGTAAGACTGGCTTATTGCGTTGGGTTTAGACTTACATATGTAGGAGGTGGATACTACTGTGAAGTCCTTCCTAAGATGCTTCTACAAACTTTTTACATAAATATTTATATCCGATATTGTGAGGACCTACACGCCAGCATTTACATTTTCATTTAAAAAATTGACACAATTCTTTTTGCTTCCGTAAACTGCAAAGTTTCCACAAACGTTCGTTCCATGAATTTGTGCAAACCGATTGGATCGCAGTAACGTTCACTATTGGAACTAATTAAAACAAGCGTAGAGTTCTGATAGCTCAATTCAATAGGTTTCCGAAAATGCTTCAAATATTATATTGTACATTGAATCGTGAAATAGATTTGAGAGGGCAACATTTAAAATAGTAATTTATTGATTGAGAAGGAGAATTTTTATTGACTCCTTATTTTATTAAGCACGGGAGAAGTTAAATTACAAGTATTATTTCTTTCGTTTAAAACGAAAGGGTGTCCGAATAGTCAGCCCTCGTAACACATAAAGATATGAAAAACATAAAGATGCAGAAGTGATGAACGTCATTTATTAATGTAAAATCTTCAAATATGTATGATCCGAATGTTTGGGATTTTTCATATTCCCAGCCTCAAGACAAGATCTTTTGAAAATTTCTAGGAGTCAGCCACGGAATCGACAAATACCAGCGAGGGTTATTTTGAAAAAACTTGTATTTGAATTATTTTCTTCAAGCCAATACTTCATGCGATTGGGAAGTGTCCCGGTGTAGCTTGATAAAGGGTTCCATCGAAAGTGAAATTTCGAAACAGTCAAGTCAACTCGAATCCATTCGTACGGTCCCTCAATAAACCGAACTCGCCCAATTCAGTTCTTCAATTCCTATTTCCTACTCGTCGAATCGATTTCATGAATACATTGACGCGCAATAACCCAGAAATGGATTGCGTAATTGTAAACAAATCAATCAATACTCGAACTCGTCGAATTGACTGTGCAACTCGATTCGAACTGGCTTCGACTTGAATTTACGGTGAACTCGAACTCGACTTGATCGACTTGAATTTCTATTCTGCTTTTTAGATTTGAATCCCCGGAATATGAAAGATGGTAAAACTTGGAGGCCAAGGTGTGTTCGAAGCCTCATAAAAATATAGAGGCTTTAAGAAAAATCTTACTGACTACGAGGCAATTTATCCAGGGATTCTGTGCGCACTTAAGTCTAGGTCTCGAGTCCGCTTCCTTAGCACTGCATTAATGTAGGATTTGGAAATTTTGAAAACTAAAAATTGTTCTCTACTCAAACATTAACTGGCTTTCCATTAAAATTTACTCAAAATGTGTAAAACGAAAACTGTGGTAGCTACAGCGTTTCATTTCACTACCAGTTTGCCTGGGCCACATGGTACTACTCCTTGAGGTGTAAGTTCATATACATTTGGGAGTCTCATTGAAATAAATCAGGGTATTCCGACCTGGGTTTTAATGGGTTGGGTTTTATTGGGTTTTAATGGGTTTTAATGGGTTGTAAATGAATAAAACCCACTGGGTTTTACCATGTTAAGTGGGGTTTATTTGGGTTTTAATGGGTTTTATTGGGTTTTAATTGAGTTTTACCTTGAAACTAAATTCTAAAAGTTAAATACATCTCCTATACGTTAGAAGACGTTTTCTCAATTCATTCTAAAGCAGTTTATTTCATTACTATTCTAATATATGAAAATCCGGAACAAATCAACAATTGACTCCATCCTTTAGCATCACAGATTTCAAGTGTTATAAAATAAAAATAATT